AAAAAAAAGAAGCTTTTTTCCGGTTTTTTATATAAAAATATTTTAATTATATTACACTACATTTAAAGTTATAATAATAATCGATAATTATCGATAACTAAGAAAATCAATCTATAACGATATTTTTGTAATTTTAACCTTTGACTAACCTCTGGTATGTTTTTAATTATAAAAATATTTTTAAAACCGGAAATAAAGAGTAGAGCCTGACGGGATTTCTCAAGCATATTATACAACAATGGGTAATCTTAAACTAAGTATAAATTAGAACTCATAATGCTTTTGGATTTTACCATATAACCGAGTTAGTATTCGTAATGCCTTCGAAACTCATAACCATATTTTGCATTTACTAATTCAAACTCAAACGAAAGGAGTGACCTATATATTCTTCATTTAGACTGGTCCAAATTGGACTATTTATAGCTACATATAGTGTTAGTGTAGTATGTTCTTCCGTCAAAGGCACACTACATTATAGCAGGTTTAATATAGTMAAAAATATCTTAACGTGTTTGTACGCATATAAGCTATTGAAAACACAGCCATATTTAATATGAAATAACTTTCATCGGCTGCATAAAAATTACAAGGGCATTCTTCGAGCATTCTTGATGGCGAGCGTCTAACGAAAAAGGTACTCATATACTCGTTTTCATAAATCTATACCACTGAGAGAAGTATTAAAAAAAATGGGTACTAAAAATGTCTTGCATACAATAAACATAAACATATACTAATTGGAAATATCGTACTTTTCAACAAAAATTGTTTTCGTAAACCATCATATTCTCACTACAGTTAAACTAAATTTACCACAACTTCATGGAAACGCGCTTTTTTTTTTATTTCAGAACAAAATTAGAACCTCATTGCTTCCAAAATTTAGCGAGATAGTGTTGGAGGCTAATGTTAATGTTCCTGAAGTTGTCACGTTAAAACTAGTTGCTCCAAGTAATCCAATGACTCTGCCGTCTAATAGCCTTTTCGAATATGATTGTTTCGGACAATCTGCTTTTTTCTTTCCTTGTAATATTTACGAAAGTATCCTGGTCTCATTTAGCGCTTTTTGTGCGMTAATTTTAATGTTGCTGAAGTTTTCACGTCAGAATTAGTTGCTTTAAATAAATAACTCCACTGTTTTATGACATTTTCAACCAATTTAGTTTTCGAAAACCAACTTTCAGATTTCTTGCGTTCAAGCATTTCTTATAGATTCTACAAGCTGTCTATCGAGGTCGTTTTTTGAGTTCAGAAGCAAAGAAAATTTGCTGGGTAACTGAGATGCAATAAAGTGGAGTTTCTTTCCACGAAATTCACCGTCACTTGTCGGTCTTCCAAAAAAGTTTTATTTTTTTTTTCAGTTGGACCGASCTCTTTATCAATGCGTCAGTTTTTCTAGTGCGGACGCAAAACCAGGTTGTTGGGAACAGAAATGCAAGAGGTCCCGGTGGTCTATTGGACTTCGGCAATGTGCTGGGGCTAAGTGAGTCTATGTGATTTAGGAGAGGGTATAATGGACCTAAAGTCGCGGCGCATTCCTCATTTTTCAATCTAATCTAACCTAATGCAAGCGGAAAAAATTGATGTTCAGCGTTTCCAAAAACTTGATCTATCTTTTGGGCAAATTTCTTATGACCAAATTGAGTTCCTTAGCTTTACCTGCATCTCTGTTGTATTCTTAGTAGACCATTTAAGGGTTGTACTGGAAAAATTTGGCGGCATCATTATTGAATACTGCCGCAAACCACAATACGACTTAAATGGAAAAGTTACGCTGTGAGACCCTTCGAAATAAGAGTTGGCAGATCACCTGTTGACTTAATTCGTGTTTTTTGTTAACTATCGTTCCATTATATGTATTTATATATTGGCTATAAACATGTAAAAAYTAAAATTAGTTTTATTTTCTGTTTCATTGGCTCAAGGGATTCCCTTTATGTTGCTCGATTGGTTACAGTGTTAYCTTTATAAAACTAATTTATATTTTAAAACACTTGGTTCATCAAAAATGTGTTCATATATGTATTAGTTCTTACTTTAAGTTGTAGATGGAAAATTTTTGAAACTCTTCATTTTCAAAATTGGAAAAATTCGTTCTTCTTTGTTTCATCATTAAAGACCTCATCATCGTTATCAGTTTAGCAAATGAAGATTTTCAAAATTGGAAAAATTCGTTCTTCTTTGTTTCATCATTAAAGACCTCATCATCGTTATCAGTTTAGCAATCACTACATCAAACATCGGATCATCGGTAAAGCGATCAGTATTCGACAAAAGAAAAGAGAACAGAAACCCAAAATATCTCTTGCAGCACTGCAAAAAAAAAAAAAAAAAAAAAAAAAAGGCACTTCTCTCTTTTAATACCGTTAGTTGTCATTTATTTCTTATTTGCAGCAGAACACCATTACATAGAAAATCCAATGCCTCCTAACAACTTTATCCCTTTACAYATAGGTGGCATTGCGCCAGCGGAGGCTGCTGAATCGGAACGCTTAGAACGCATTAACCGCATGTTGCAAGAGAGCGCTGAGAAGCTGGAAGAGCTGAAGGTGGAGAACGTGTTCACACGTTCGCTGCTGGCGGCGCCGACTAACAGCGCTGCGACGCGCAGCCGATCGCCAGCGCGACAACAAAATACYAACACTAACAATAACGATACTAATCTTAAGATAAGCAATAACAATAACAATAACAACAACAACGATACTAATACACAACGAAGTCTGAAACGAACGGCCTCACCGAGACCGGTACAACAACAGCAACATCAACAACAACTAAGACAAGTACAGACACAACAGCAGTTGTTACAGTTACAAGAACAACAGCAACAACAACAAGCCATACAACGACAACTACAACAACAACAAGAGTTGCAGAGACAATTGCTGCAACAGCAGCAACAAGAGTTAAAAAGACAATTACAACAACAAGAACGTGAACGGGCGATACAAAAACAATTACAACAACAAGAACATGAACGGGCGATACAAAGACAATTACAACAACAAGAATACGAACGGGCGATACAAARCCAATTACAACARCAGCAGCAAGTAACAGTRCAAAAACAAGTACAACAACAACAGCAACTGACAGTACAAAAACAAGCACAGCATGTGACRGTGCAAAGAAAAGTACAACAACAACAAGTGACAGTACAAAGTCAAGGACAACAACAACAGGTGACAGTGCAGAGACAATTACAACAACAACAGGTAACTGTACAAAGGCAAGCACAACAACAAGAGGTAATTGCACAAAGGCACCTACAACAACAACAGGTGACGGTACAAAGGCAAGCACAACTACAACAGGTGACAGCACCGAGAGAAGCGCCACAACCGGTGCCACTAAGCAGTAAAATACCGCCACCATTGCTATCRCCACCCATACAACAACAACCATTACTGCAGACACAACAACTACTACGGCCACAACAACAACAACCGCTAGAACAGCAACCACGCAAACAGACGACATTGCAAYCACAGCAACAACAATTGACCACACAACAACCACAACGTCCACCAARACAGAACCAGCATCATCAACAACAACAGCAGCAACTACCGCAGACATCACAACAAGCACAGGCACAAGGCGCTGCTGCCAAGCAGCTTGCCAACAAATCCAACCGTAAATCCAAATAACAGTTACTGAAATTGGTGGCCCGTTACGGTTGTCTGTTGCCCACGTGCATCCTTGAGGAGCTCGCGGGCGCCCGACTACCGAACCCAGTACATGTTTGAGTAAAAAAGAAGACAGTTCAATCCTCGAATTCGAATTCGAAGTTGTTATTGTAGTTGCTGTTCACCAAAGGCCCAAGACATTCTACATATTTACATACACACGSACACAAACACATATAAAAACATTAATGAAAAATTTTATAAAGCAGAAAGCTTACTCTCAAAGTGATAACTCCTTGAAGGGGGGAGGGAAAGCTGGCGCAGGCGTAGCGGTTAAGTGCTTTATTGAATGAAAATCTAAATGAAGTTGTTAAAATTAGTTGCTTAAGATGCTTAAACACTAAAAAAATATTAACTAAAACCAACAAACTAACACAAGAGCAAACGCTGCACCGAATATTACTTATTCACACACACTCCTCTTTTCTTTATAAAAAAAAAAAAACAATAAACGCACCACTCCACAAAACCAACGGCAACCGTACACTAACTCCGCCCACACACACACACGCAGAACTCTTGACATCCGCTGACATCGAAGACGGCAAAGTCGAAGTCGACCCTGTTACCAAGGCACGCACCGAATATAAAGTTATCGATGGCGGTTATGAGGTACGCACCATCACCCCCCAGCCAAATGGCACGTTGAARACCGCCGTGCGCACTTTCTGGGATCCCAAGCCCGTCAGCGAAGAAGATGCGAAGCGTGAGGCGCAAAATAAGCTGGAGATCCGTAAGCGCTTCGGCAAGGAGGTACGCATCGACAAAAATACAACTATGTTGACACGCGAAATCGAAGGTGGTTACGAAGAAGTCTACACCACCATCAACGATGATGGCACACGCAGCATGCGCACTAAGACTTTCTTCGATTCAATACCAGCTGAGTTGCCCGACGACTACAAGGTGCCTGCCGTCGACAAGAATAAGAAGAAGAAGGCTTTGGTGAAAAAATCTTCGGTGGACTCGACCGATTCAACTGAATCTCGTCGTATTGTACAACGTACCGACCAACAACAGGGTAACTTCAAGCAACACACCACCGTGGAGGAGTCAAGTCGTTTCTCGCAGAGCACCGAGATCACCGAAAACAATCGTACTGTACGCAAGAACTCCGTACAAGAACAAAATGTCAAACAAATTACCTCTTCGACTGGCAGCGGTGTTGATAGTAAGGACAAGAAGAAGACCAAGAAGACCAAATCTAATATACCACCACCACCACCAGATTTCATTGAGAATGATACCACCACTGTCAGCTCAAAGCGTGTGCCACATGGTGTTGAGTACACCTACTCTACCAAATTGGAATCGGGAAAAACTATCACCACTTCCAAGACGGTGTACGAAGAAGAAGAGGCCGAATTGACTGAAGAAGAGATACGCGCTTATAAGAAGACCTTGAAAGATGCTGAGAAGCATAAGAATGTTACATCCACAAAGAAACTCCGCTCCGAATCGGGTACCAAGAAGGTTGTACCATCTGAGAATCCCGGTGATGTGACTACCGTTGAGACTATCAAAATCGAAGGTGGCACCGAATATCATTACACCACTGTCACCGCTGAGGGTATCGTCAAGAAGGCCGTTAAGACTGTTTACGATCCGGTGGCCAGCAATGGCGGTGAAGAAAGCGAGGAAGAGATCGTGGAGGAGTACGAAGAAGAAATCATTGAGCCCGGCGAGAAGAATGTGCGTACCATTGAGACCGTGAARCAATTGCCAAAGAAATTCGAAGGTTTGTACAACATTTCAAGTCTTGAGTGATAAAAGCTAATTGTTTCTTCGTCCACAGAGGAGGTCACCGTCACCCATGAGAARACCGAGAAAAAGGTAAAGAAGTCCATGATGATCAGCCACTAAACTGCTAAACGCTGTAGAGCTTCGCTGCAAGAGCGGATGAATGTGTGGAGCGCAAATTTGCTACATTATCAATTCTAATTATACAGGGTGCCTAAACCATTTTTTATAAAAAAAAAACAAAAACAACTCATTTTCAAATTACATAAAACACACATCCAAACACACGCTCGCATATCGACACCACACTCATGCACTTGTTTGCAACGGCACAGTAATACAATTGCAATGAAAAAAAAAAAAATAATAATAATCAAAAAATTAAAAAAAAAATATATATATAAATAATGTTGAAAGGAAAATCAAAATCAATTATTTTTAAAACTAAGCCATTTTTCTAAAACAATTTTTGGTTTGACTCAAAATTATACGTTTCTCGCCTCACTTTTCCATTTCACATTTCAGAGTCCAGTTGTAGCAATTGTTGCCGGTTTTATACCAATTTTCGTAAGCCTTGTTCTAAATTATTTCACTAGTTATCTCGTTCCTTGATCGAATTTGCTGAAAATGCACAAAATCATATATTTTGTACTGACTTAATAAAATATTATTGTAATTTTACTTTTACTTTTGTGAAACGCAGATAAATTCATTTGTATTAATAAAGAGTTATTGAATTTTGAAGAAAATGATAAAGAAATGCGTAATAAATACCGGTTTATACAGGGTGAGTAACATTAAATGAGTCTATTGTATAGAAAAGATGGCATTGAGAGATATGTATCTAACAGCTGATAGCTGACAGCTCATAGCTGTCAAAATACATAACAGTGAAGAGACGCTGACAGGGCCATGTTGTCCGAACGAAAATACTACAGCTCTAAAAGTATTCGACGCCCTACTAGCCAGGGAAAGCAGAGGAAGAGGAAAATAACCCTCCATTGGAAAGACCAGGTGGAGAAGAACCGGGCTGGGGTCTCCTATTAACGACAGGTACGAAAAGAAGAACAACTGGCGCGCTGTTTGTTATTTCGGCTATTACCGGTAGATTTCGAAGAGAGAAATATTTATTATWTAAGTTGCAGTAACTATTATAAGTGAAAGCTATGGCTTAAGTAAATAATATACATTAAACGTCATCGACTATTCATSGACATATAACTGATAGTTCAAAGAATGTAAAAATAATAATAAGAAAAGTCATCGCGACGAGASATAATCAAGCTTAGATTAGTCGCCTATAATAAGGGATATTCTGCGATACTTAGCAATTTCTAGTTTCAACTAAATAGCCCTAATTTTCGAAACCCTACAGAATTTAACTTAAATTCCATCTCCAATATTGTTCTTAGTTTTAAAGAAGATGGRGAAAGAGGTTAGGTGGTATGTATTATCATCACGGATTAGTCCAAACTAGTTCATCGAATGGAAGTGCCGCCTTTTCACCAAAGTTAGATTCGAAAATCGCCTTTGTCTACCAAACCMTTGTAGTGACTTCCRAACRGGAATAAAGAAAGSCTTTTTGTTYTGAAAAGGAGTGTGCTCTCAGCAAGAAATATATTTACCTATTGTATGTTTAAAGAAAGCCAAGCGGCTTTGAAATCAATATAGCTAATCTTAGCTTTAGCCCAACGGGTACAACTGAAGTGTTTTTCAGGCAGAAGTGGCTGCGGTAGACGTATTGCTAAGAAGGGCAGCTTCTCTCAGTGCCCTCAAAGGTAGTCAAAAATGTCTGCTTCCATTGGAAATAGTATCAAGCCACTTCATCGTCAAACTGATGCGCTTATATTTGATGACTGATGAGCTTGCCAGAGGATTCACAATTGCTCCGTTATATGGGAATGGTCGACTAGTAGACATGAGATCTTCTGAACTACTTCCCTTGAGCAAAGTCTTTCTTGCTGCAATCGTAGGCTGCTAAATTCTGCAATCTYCACACGAAACTGACATTAGYCGTCACAAAGAATTTGTGTCGGTCTCAATACACTTTGTCTCGTCAAAGATTGTGAGGGATTGYTTTGATCTCATAGTGGAAGTAACATTCTATTTAGTGATAATCCTTTCAATGGATATCAATACGTASTGATGAGCCCGGCTACTGTAAAGCAAATGAACTAACCAGAGCAGAAACTATTAGAGCACGGAAAGTAGGAGATCTATATGCCTCTGGATACATGTAAATATTTGATCGACAAACATATTATAAATATAAATGAGTCTCGGAGGAGTCATTCCCTGACCTGCTCAACAATTTGGCAAATGTGGTATGATTGGAATATGGAATTCACATGCCTACTACTAAATTTAAAAAGAAATGACGCATGAACTCTAGTTGGAGTGGTACGGACATTGTACAAATAAAACTCTTYATACTGATGAGTTTCATCAGGACGAGGTGATTAAGGGAAGAGTGAATAGCTACTTTAGAATAGGTAYTTCTTAAAGAGAGTTAATACGTTCCGCAGATTATAATTTCTATACTTTGAACAGGRTATATKARGTTTAAATCCGTCCATCCGTCTSWCCGTAAAAATGCGAAATAGTCCTTCAATTTTTGAGATACCAWAATGAARTTTTACACACGTTTTTTTTCTCTCCAAGGAAATGAACATTTGTCAGCACCGCCCATATCGGACTACTTAAGCATAGTGCTGCCATACAAACTGACCGATCSAAATGAAGTTCTTTTCTGGAAAACTGTTTTATTTGATAAAGTATCTTCACAAAACTCATTATGAATATTAATAAATATTAAATTTTAATAAAAAGATGTAGTTATGTAGTATATGTATAGCAATAGCGGATTTTTCAATAGCGACGCTACAAAAGTAGACCAATAGGARTTTTTTGACAATTCTCTTCAACAATTTCTGCCAATTTATCATGGAAAGATATACGATCCAACAACGAATTGTCGTTGTTTCGAATTTTGTGAAAAATGGCCTACATCCATCCAAGATCAAATTGACAGAAGAACTAAAGCCGCTTTGCCCCCAAAATCGTCGTATATTCGTTAATTGGGCTGAGCAAAAGTTGAAAATGAACCGGATATACATCGAAAAATCATCTTCCGAGAAGAGGCTCATCTCTCACTGAATGACTTCGTCATTAAGCAAAATATACGTTATTGCACAGGCAGCAATCATCACGTACTCCATAAGTCGCCACTGTATCCCCACAAAAATAACGGCTTGATGTGGTTTATGGGCCGGCGGCGTCATTGAGTCGTACTTCTTTTGTGATGATCAAGACCGGTACTTTATTGGGAATGGGAAGCTCAATATTTTTGGCCCGAATTGCATAATATGGATTGATAAACTACGTACGAATATCGTATGTGAAATCGCAGCAGTATCGACCGATTTGTGCTTGACTTCTACACTTATCATGACTGCATCTTATCCTAATAATTTGTCTCCAATTTTGAACTACTTTCTCAAGTTATCTGAATACATCAACGTAAAGTTGCCAGTTGCTTTGGATTYACCTGTAAAAACATTACTTGCTCATACCACCACAAATCTTATGGCCAACGGCATAATTGTTCACAAAATTTTACTTGCCAAAGCTTACAGAACAGAAATGCTAGTGCTTACTTTGACATCTGGTTTGACAGCTTCTCATCTAGCAAAATCTGTAACGAAAAAAATTAAACTAGATTTTGAAAAAAATTCAACGCTTTCGTTGTGTAAATTAAAATACAAGTATAAATGCATACATGTGGAGTAACAGTAAGTCAGAACTCGTGTTGTTATTTATGGCGTTGTCAACACTGCATTGTAATTTACCTTTGACCCTTTTCTGGTTTAACTCTTTTATTTTTTTAAGCGCAATGGTCGTAAATTCTGAACTGCAAYATATACATATGTACATACAAGTAGTATATGTAGCATACAGTGTATTTCGTTGAAAGCTACCAACGTTTGTATGTATGTGCGTCACCGTAAACTGAATTTATTGCATTTATCACAGCAATTTGCTTCGGAAACACTTTTGTGTCTTTGTGTTGCTAGTGACTGTGACTGTAGCTGTGACTATAAAGCAGTGCAAAAAAGGGGTACAAAAAGAGTTGAAGGGTTAAGAGTATTCATACAGTATAAACATGTGGGAGGATATAACCAAATGAGTTGTATTCGCCCATATTTACCTAAATGCCTGAAATATGAGAAAACGTTAAAGTTTCTCATTGAAATTCATTACAAATACTGATGAATGCGAATGAATGTCAAAAAAGATTTAAATGAGGAGGGCCAAGTCGCAGAGGTRAAAAACTGCCTACCTCGCAACGTTACAGTCGACCACAGTACGTGCGGAATGGGAAAGATACCAAGAGTTGAAGATGGAATGAGTGAGTACGAAGAGCTTGACAAGTTGGTCGAYAGGGGTAATGCTCRTGAATTCCACGAAAAGATGTGGCGACTAGCAAAAGGTTTCAAGACCGAAGCGTACTTTTACAGAACACCCAGAAGTGATGCAGTGACAGATGACAAGCKCATTAATTGACTGAAATTAAAAAGCGAATACTTCTCCAGCCTACTTAATTTCAATGAAAGCGTAAAACCTGGAKAAGAAGATTGSCCATCAAGAACAACTACATAATATTTTTATACYCTCGCAACAAAGTTGCTAAAGAGAGTATTATAGTTTTGTTCACATAACGGTTGTTTGTAAGTCCTAAAACTAAAMGAGTCAGATATAGGRTTATATATACCAAAGTGATCAGGGTGACGAGTAGAGTTGAMATCCGGATGTCTGTCTGTCCGTCCGTGCAAGCTGTAACTTGAGTAAAAATTGAGATATCATGATGAAACTTGGTACACGTATTTCTTGGCTCCATAAGAAGGTTCGAAGATGGACAAAATCGGCCCACTGCCACGCCCACAAAATGGCGGACACCGRAAACCTATAAAGTGTCATAACTAAGCCATAAATAAAGATATTAAATTGAAAAGGATCGCATTAGGTAGGGGCATAGTTGGACGTAATTTTTTTGGGAAAGTGGGCGTGGCCCCATTCCCTACTAACTTTTTTGTACATATCTCGAAAACTACTATAGCTATGTCAACCAAACTGTATGGGGTCGTTTCTTTTAGGCATTTCCATATACAGTTCAAAAATGGAAGAAGTCGGATAATAACCACGTCCACCTCCMATACAAAGGTTATGTTRAAAATCACTAAAAGTGCGTTAACCGACTAACGACTAAAAACGTCAGAAACACTAAATTTTAAGGAAGAAATGTTAGAACGA